ATCGTTGCATTGAGCAAACTAGAATCGCGGCAAAATCCGCTACAAAAAGGGTCCTGCTGTATCGACGCACGACCCGCCACAGCGACGGACAGAGCCTCATTGCCATGCATTGGAGAGCGATATCGCGTGGTAAATATCCGCGCTATCGCGCAGATTACCGCGCGATAAATCGTTCAGTGTGAATGGGGCCTTAGTCATGCTCAATTTAATTGATGTTCCTTAGACATGTAAGCTGCAGAAAAATTTGGTACGGTTCAGATATTTTCTTATTTCGGGATCCCGATCCGAAATTCAATTTGGTTGGTGTTCAGGAGTCAGAAAAGATCCGAATTTTGTTAGTTTCAGATGAGTTTACGAATATTCGTTGCGAATACCACAGAAAGCCATATACAGATATTAATACTGAACCTGAATCTCCTAGACCTGAATGGCATTCGAGATCCGAATTTCCGAATTGCATTCAGGAGCTCCCGAATGCCACTCGCCTCAGGTTTAGTAATATATGTATATGGCTTACCCGACTACTTTCATTCCACCCATGCAATTCGGAAATTCGGATCCCGAATGCCATTCGGGTATGGGAGCCATATACATATATTACTAAAGCTGAGGCTCCCGAATGCAGTTCGGAAATTCGGATGAGCTTATATCAGAACTGTTCCCCTGACAGTCCCAGTTAAATTAATAGCTGCCATCAGCGGCTCACAAGCTTCTGATGACAGCTATTCACAAAGACCCAAAATGTTTTGGCTTCTGTTCCCCATTAAAGCAAACAATGGTTGAACAGTAGACATGTGCGATTCATTTCGGAAAAAATAGTTTTTCAGACAAATTTTTGTTTTTCAGGGATTCGGATGTATCCGAATTTCCGAATAACAGAAATGACAAATGAAACCTAAACTGAATTTCTGAAAACGAAATTTCGGCCTAAATTCGTTAGCGGTAGTCTGTATGAATTTTCATTTGTGGACGAATTTTTCATTGCAGCAAAGTGTCAAAAACTTTTTTTTAGGGCTGTGGAAATTAAAGATTAATTTCTCGATTAATCGTTAAACTTTTTGATCGATTAAAATTATTTTGATCGCTAATGAAAACACTCACCTCTCTGCCGGCTTCCGGGAGTCCCATCGGTGATCCGGTGACGTCACGGACATCGAAGTCACCGGACTCCTCCCCCTTCCCCAAGTGGCTCCGTCGGCTAACGAAGGGAAGGGGAGGAGTCAGGTGACGTCGATGTCCTTGACGGCTAACGAAGGCAAGGTGGAGGAGTCCGGTGACGTCACCAGACCCCTCCCCCTTCGTTAGCTGACGGAGCCACTTGGGCCGGTGAGTTTGCCCAAGAAACTTTCTACATGAGCGCCAGCCAAGGCATTGGCCTGTACACATACAGCACAGCAATGAAGTAATAAAATGAACTAGGATCACACTAATCCAGCACGTTATTATTCTGAGTTGCCCCACTCAAGCGGCGGCTATATTGAGTGGGGCACGTAAGATTAATAACGTGCTGGATTAGTGTGATCCTAGTTCATTTTATTACTTCATTGCTGTGCTGTATGTGTTTAGGCCAATGTAGTTGGATCTGTATGTGCATTATAATTAATTGAAATTAATCGATTAAAAAAAAATTTGATTAATCGAACACGAAAATTTTAATCATTACCAGCCCTAATTTTTATTTTTTTATTTTGCTGTGCTGAAACGAAAAACAAACACGAAACGGAAATGAAAACGAAAGTTTGTACAGACTACCGCTATTTCGTCCGAATTTCATTTGAATCCGAATCCTGAAACGAATTGACTTTCGGACCCAAATACAGAAAAACGAAATAACGCAGAATCCGCATCAAAACGAAACTAAATGAATTTTTTACCGGTGCACATGTCTATTTAATAGCTTTCAGTGTATTTTCCTGAGAAGAACAGAGCTCTCCCTTTGTTTGGATGGACAGTGCTTTCCAGCTGCTGAATTTGTATGCTATGTTTGATAACAATGTTGTAATCACATAAATCCTTGCAAATATTAATATACATAGGTCCATGTGACACACACATGCTGAAAGTTTAGGAATTACTACTTATTCATGCCTCAAATACATTTTTCCTCCAATATTCACAATATATAAACATAAACCTGTTCCTGTGCCCTTCCTTTAAGGTTGATTTTCTAGTGAGTGATGTCTTCATAGAAAGCAAAACTACTTATCGGATTATTCAGATTATTACAGAATAATTCTCGGAATACCGGGCATAGTTATTACAGTAAGCCATCATTTCACGTCAGAGGGGGCTGGCTCGGTGTACTTTATGAAACGTTGAGTTAAAATGGACCTGAAGCATTGTTTGGTTTTATGTAGGGATGCACCGATACCAGTTCAGATAACGGTGCCGATACTTGGCATTTTCATGAGAACTACCAGGGATGCAGTGGTTGCAGCTGGGACCTAGTTTTGACGCTCCACCTCTGTCCTGAAATCATTAGTCTGTATTGTTTTAGAAAAACTGTCACATGACAATAAACATAAATGTATCAGTACTTGTATCTGTGAGTACTTGGACAAGTATCAGTACTTGTACTCGCAAAAATGGTATCGGTGCATCTCTTATATATGTTTATAAAAACAAAATCCTACATTAAAACAGAGAAGTACAAATCCCGGGAGCTCTGTGGGCTCCTTACAAATGACAGCTGTCTCCTAACTTTTTAATTTTTCTCTAGTCTAGTCTTAAGGTGCCCACACACCTTACAATTATCTGCAGATTTTCTGTGGTCAGATGGAAAACGTGAAACAGATTGGCCAAGGTGGAGATTACTCCAGCCACACAGTTAAGTGTAGATGGAGGAATCTGTTGCACCTTTTCCATCTGACCACAGAAACTCTGCAGATAATTGTAAGGTGTATGGGCAGCTTTAGAGCTTGAAAAGTATCTGTACTTGTACCGAGTACTGTACTTGGTATCGGTGCATCCCTAGTTTTATGGATTGAAAAAGAAGTCTGACGGCGTCCCATGTACAATCATATAATAACATACATTTATCATGATTTATAGAGCAAAAGCAAATAATAAAAGATACATTCTCCCAGGAAATTGCTCAGTCCACTCATATCACATCCCAATCTGGGCTGATTTGCTCGCACCTACTCTCCATGGAACAATCCCTGTTATGATTATGCTGACTAAGCCCTAATACAGTAAACCCGTCATAAACCTGGGCAATTCAGATTGAGCATTCGAAACAGTGCATGAGTAGATGTTACCTTTAGTGACAAGTCACGTCAACACCATGAGTAGATCCACAATATAGACAGTTCATATGCAAACCTCAACTTTTCCTCCAAAAAGGTTTAGCTTTGCCCCTCCATCCACCTCCAAAGTATTTCTGGTGATCTCCTAATGCAACAGAGGTCCATCCTCCGGGGTGATGCACATATGCCCACAGGCGGTGTTAAGGCCCATCCTCCGGGGTGATGCATATATGCCCACAGGCAGTGTTAGGGCCCACCCTCCGGGGTGATGCATATATGCCCACAGGCAGTGTTAAGGCCCATCCTCCGGGGTGATAAATATATGCTTACAGGAGATGTTAGGGCCCACCCTCCGGGGTGATGCATATATGCTTACAGGAGATGTTAGGGCCCAATCTCCGGGGTGACGAATATACACATAAAGGCTGCATTAAGGCCCACCCTCTGGGACGATGCGTATATGCTTACAAGCGGTGTTAGGACCACAATCTTGGGTGATGTATATATGCTTACGGGCGGTGTTAAGGACTATCCTCCAGGGCAATGCATATATGCGTTACGCCTGCAGAAAGGTGTTTACTAAAAAAGTGCAGACTTACTAAATCAAACAAAGAAAATTACTTTTCAAATGCAATTGCTGTGCTAAGCTTATATTTATTTATTACAGGTCTTTATACACTGAGTGGCCAGTTTATTATGACCACCTGATGTTTGTAGGCAAATTAGCTATAATTAGCTAGAATTTCACGCTGAAGTTGCTAGAGGGCCAGACCATTATAAATAGGGAAGCAGGTTGTTTACCACGACAGTGGAAGTGATTTTTTTCTGAAGATACGGGTAAACAACCCGATTTAACAGCCTTTGAACGTGGGATGATTGTTGGCGCGAGCCATGGAGCGAGTATCAGCAAAACAGCAGAATTCGTTAAATGTTCAAGAGGGGCTCATTGTTAAAGTGTTTAAAGACTGGACTGTCAGCCGAAAATCTGGGTCTGAACGTGCGAATTGTGGCCGTCAGCGACTAGTCAATGTTAGGGCAGAACGGAGAGTGGCAAGACTGGTACAAGACAACAGAAGGGCAACAGTGCAGTGTCAGATTCCTTGCATCACCTTTCAACATCTCGTGGAGTCACGAGGCGGCCCAACTAAGTCATCTCGTGGCCCAACGAAGTACTGATGCGGTGGTCATAATAATCTGGCCACTCAGTGTATATCTCTTGCAAGTGACGCAGTGCTTTACATATTCACACCAGCCCTTGCTGTCAAGGAGTATACAATCTAAGGTCCCTATCTTACATGCATACACATACTAGGGTTAATCTTAGACAGGAATCTGATTGAATCTGTCAATTTTTATTCAGACAACCCAGGTAAGCGCAAGCACATAGAGAACATGCACACTCCATGCAGATATTGCCCTGGCTGGGATTCGAACCAGTGACCTCAGTGCTGCAAGGCTGAAGTGCTAACCAAGAAAGCACTGTGGTACTATGAGAATGTAGTGATTGGGTTTACACACACGCCATGTAAAATATTGCTATGTATCCCTTTATTTGTTTTAAATGGGCTTATACGCTGTACATTTCACTCCCGTCCAGCAGCTACAGAGTTAACCATGTTATCTCATTCCTCCACCCCCTTTTCAGATCAGCTGACTCCAAGAAGTGGGGGCGTGGCTAAAGAAAAGGGGCTCGGCTTTCAAATCTATCGATTGGCTCCGGACGTTCACGTCAGCAGCTCGCTCTACCGGTCACGCCCACCCGGTGACGCAGGTGAAGGCCTGGCGTTTTGTTTGCGTAGAAGGGGAGAAAAAAAAACTAGTGAAAGAGACCGAGGAGAAGCAGCGTGAGAGACGTACCGGCTACGTATTGCGTCACCGACCGCTGCGGCCTACCCTCACTGCGCACACAGCGTACTTACCGGGACCAAAGGGCTCCCTCCGTATTCTCGGGCTTTTGTTACCTGAGTGGATTATAACACCCAAGCCGACACCAGCTGGGAGCAGGCCTCAGTGCGTGAGCGACCAGCACCCAACAAACCCCGCGCTTGAAGGAACTTGGGAGACCTTCTTGCCCGGCTGGCATGGAGGGAGCAGTAGTGACAGACAAGAAAAGGTAAGAAAGTCCTGTGTGACCTTCCTGCCTCGGGGAGCTCCTCACACCCACTCTTCCCGGTCACCGCTCTAGGGGGCGCTGTGGGGGGGATTTATTTACACCCTATGTTCTGGGGGGATTTATTTACACCCTATGTTCTGCTGTATATTATCATTGATGACATTGAAAAGAGATCAATAATATTGATTGCATTGGCTCTTTGCTGTTCTGCAATCAATATGATTGATTATTGAATATTATCTCCAAACCAATATTATAAATCATTGATCCCTTTCAAGGCCTTGTCTGATAATATGAGACAGAACATAGGGGTGTAAATAAACTGTCACCCATATCAGTGCTGAATTGTTCCTTACAATCACTATTAATGATTGATCACTTTCAAATCCATATGATTGATCATTGATCCCTTTTAAATCAATAACATTGATCATTTTATCTCTTTGAAACCAATATTATTGATCACTGATCTTTTTCCATGCCACTCCTGACACAACAAAGCAGAACCTATATACATAATATACTCGCATAAGTTTATTCTATTGTCAGGGATGGCATGGAGAGGGATCAATGATCGGTAATATTGATTGCTGACTAGAAAAGGAGCAATTGAGGGCTAATATAGAGGGGGGAAGGGCGACATTTCTTTATTTCCTGTTTAATGACATAGGAATCAGTGATCAATAATATTGATTGCAGGACATGTAAGGCTGATATTTTGGGGAAGCGATTAACACCCTGTATTATACTTCATGACGTTGTGTGAGATCATTGATAAATAATAGTGATTTGTTGGGGGAAATAATTTACTTTTCTACTTCCTGTTTCATATTGGCAGAGATGCCTTTGAGATGAATCGGTAATATTGATTGATTGCAGGGCAAGGATGATATTGGTGGCAACATTTCCTGTTTTATGACCTTGAGGGGGTCGGAATTATTAATTCGTAGGGCAAGCAAGAACTAATTCAGGGGAAGTGTTTTATATTATTGGGGATCATGTTGGGTCGAGGCAATGACCAATTCTGAGCTGGCTTTTTTTTTTGCATGACATTTTGTTGGCTTGTCGATCAATTAATATTGATTTTTGTAAGGGCCAGTCCAGGGCTGATATTGGGGGAAAACAATGTGCACCCCAGAAGCCTGCTTCCTGACATTGACTTTTTGTTTGTGATCAATAATAATGATTTGGGGACAGGCAAGTAGTAATTCAGAACTGATATTGGGGCAGCAGTTCCCCGTTTCCTGTTTTGACATTGAGTGGGATCAATGATCACTATTTATTTGTATGGCAAGAAAGGACCAGTTCAGGGGAAATATTTTCACTCCTGAGTCTTATTAGGAGTGTTGATGGGTGGAATCAATAATATTTGTAAGGACCAGCTCCGAGCTGATATTGGGGAACGTTTCCACACTTCCTGTTGGGAATCTCCGAGCTGATATTGGGATCAACAATATTATTTGTAGGGCAGCTAAGGGCCAATTCAGGGCTGAAAATTCATGTCACAATATTGGGAGTAATTAGTTATCAATAATATTGATTGTAGGGCAGATGACACATTCAGGGCTGATAATGGAGAAATTATTTATAATCCCAGTTTCTAATTTATAACATTGAGTGTGATGAGTCATCAATAGCAGTGATTTGTATGGGAGGATAGGACCAATTAAAGACTGTTATTGGAAGAATGTAATCGATATTATTGATTGTAGGGCAGGCAATGGAACATTCAGAGCTGATAGGTGAGATTATTTACACAGTTATTTCCTGCTTATCACATTGAGTGGGATCAGTCGTCAATATTATTGATTCTAGGGCTGATTTGGGGAACATTTTTGATTTTTACTCCTTTATTTCCTGTTCAGTGAGGACAGTGGGATCAGTGATCAATATAATTGTAGAGCAGGCAAATGCACAACTTCCCGTGTCTTAGCATTGGCTGGGATCAATCAATAATACTGTTGATTATACGGGAGGTAGGGACCAAATCAGGACTGATATTAGAGGAAATATATCCCAATTTCCTGTCATCAGGGATGACTAATATTAATTGTTGGGCCGGCGACGACAAGATCAGGGCTGATATTGGGAAGGAATTATTTACACCCCTACACAGGTTAGGGTAATTGATTTTAAATAAATTACATGGCAAACAAGGACGAGTTCAGGGCTGATCTTGGGGAGGAATTACTTACACCCCTATTTCCTGCTTTTCTGTAGGTGGAAATAATGGGGGGCTGTGATAAGTGATATTGGGGATATGATCGTGATCTAGCTCCCCCAAGGGCACTGCTTGCCTATATAAAGAGGGAGAGGGCAGTTGATCCTAAATACATGACATGGCAGACAAGGAAAAGCTCAGGGCTGATAATTGGGTTCAAGTTCTGTCTGTAGTAACCCGTCTTTTATAGAGCTTGTTGGGGAGCAATCATATGATAATACACAATGCTAGTTGGGTGTATATAATATAGAAGGGGGGCAGTTTTCCCTCTGATTATATTTCCTCCTCCTTTATCTAGGGGTTGTGGGTGGTTGAGGATTCTGATTATGTGGCAGGCTGGAGGAGCTCATGGGTTATATTTGTAGATCATTTTAAGGCAATCTCCTGCTGGTAATACAGTGATCGGTCTTCTAATACTTCTTTATATCTCAGTATTGCAATGTGCTTTATGCCATGTATCAATTGTGGGTTTGTGTTGCATGATTAAGTGCAAGTAAACTTCTGTGACAGTACTTCATTGCTGTCAGTACAAGCCTGTAATCGCTGTCTGTCTTGCAGTGTTCAGAGGTTTGAGTTGACACAATGTAGCTGAGCTGCTTCTGTTCTCAGGGCTTGTGTCTTGTGACTTTTCCACGTCGCCATTTTGTGGGGGTTGGTGGACGAACAAGTTGTGCAACTCCTGCCTGATTTGTCCTCAGTGTTGCCCATACATTACAGGAGTGACTAGTTGCCTTTTGCAGGCATTTTCTTTTCTTTACTCTGGTTAACTTAATGCAAAAGCTGAACTGCTGCAGAACCTGTCCAGTTTTTATGTTTAAAGGGAAAAAGTCAGAGAATGAGAGTCCTATTGCAAAACATCTGTTTTGAGTCAGAAATCGGTTTGCTGTAAATAAATCCCGATGGACAATCTTTGTGTTATTTTCATTAAGGAAATGTTTAAACTTCTCGCCAGTTCTTTTTCTGACTGCTACGTCTTGGCTGAACCACTATGTTTGCTTCTGCTGTTTCTTGAATATCTCTGAAAATGTCTTATCTGTTTATCATATCTGTACAGTGTCAAGCTATTGAACGCTAGCTGGTTTTGCAATATGCTTCTGTGGTAATATCTGCTTCTCTTTTCTACAATTGCTTCTTAACAAGAAAACCTTGACCTTGTTTGTATGAAAGCTTTTACATTCAGCTTTGTTTTCCCTTAGGCCTCATTCACACACAACACAAGCAAAATTGTATATTGCGTCTATGTGCGTATATACGGGCACTATATGCAATCCCAGAATGCATCACTCGTAGTGGAATTTTTAATGTGCTGTACGCATATACGCGTGTAAACACACGTATATGCGCAGCAATACGCTGCCCGGACGCATCTCTGTTGCATTCTGTTTTTGTGCATATATACGCTACGCAAATATAGTGCTCTATATGCGCCTGTGTATGGAGCCATTTATTTTCATATGGTACTATACGCTCGGCAGTGTGAATGAGGCCTTATCGCTGAGTGCTTGCGTTCTTAATATGTCTTGCAAGAAAGGTTTTAAAAGCATGTTTATTGGTTGCTATTCTTGGTGATTGTTTAATGATTCCATGATGAGGTTTGCGTGTCTCCTTAATTAGTAGATTTGTATGTTACATCTTTGCTCAGCATATTTACAGTTACAACAATAATACTGCAATGTGTGTTTACAGTTCCTACTCAGTTGCAAATATTGCATGTATACATATTCATGTTTTTTTTTCCTCTGTAAGGCCTGGTTCACACCTGTACGTTTTTTGTAGCGCGTTCAACGCTCTACAAAACGCTCAAACATGAAAATCGCATTGTTTTCTATGGGTATGGTTCACACCTTGCCGTATTTCAGCCCGTCTGAACGCGCTACAAAACGGCCTATGCCTGAAAAGGTACATGAGCTTCTTTGTGGGTTTTTATTGGGATACAGCCAAGTAGCCCTCGGAAACGCGTGTTTGTCGCGTGGTTTTTTTACTGCGAGTCGCGGTAGAAACGCGCGACAGACGCGCATATTCGATACGCCTATGTGTAAACAGAGCCTTAGAATGGTTGGTTGATTTTGTATTATGATAGTAACATTTTCTGGTTTTACGGTTATCAAAACCTTTAATCCTATTTTTCACAAAAGAAAAACACAACGTAGGGCTAGTTCACACCAAGCGCAGAGCAGGAGCAGAGCAGTTACAGAATGGATCAAAACTGCGTCCAATGTATTCAATGGTATTTTGGGCTCTAGTTCACACCAGAGCGTTCCGTTCCAGATCATGTGGAAAAACTGCAGCAAGCCCTATTTTTTTCTTCTTCTCTGGAAACCACCAAAACGCACTGAAAGCCCATTTTAGGGCTTGATCACACCAAATGCATGCCAGATGCAGAGCAGTTACAGAGTGCATCAAAAACGCATCCAATGTATTCCAATGGTATTTTGGGCTTTAGCTCCAGAGCATGTAAAAAAAAAACTGCAGCAAGGCCTATCTTTCCTGTTGAATGCATGCAAATGCATTAAAAAATGCATGCAAATGCCCTGGAACTCGCAAACCCCATTTTAGGTTATTTTTTTCTTATTTTTACAAAAAACTGCCTGGAACATGTCTAAAACTGCACGGCATGTGCAGAAACCTCATGCAGATCTGGTCTGCAATTGGTCTGAAGAAGCCCTAAGGCTTTTCAGTCACACAGGCTGCAGTTTGCATGCTGTGCATTTCTTAGTTTACACCATTTGTCCATGAAAATGCCTGTGTTAATGCCATGCATGTGCAGACCATTTCTCAA